ACAGAAGGTATCCTGGAACCAGACATCCAGGAACTCTCTCCTGAGTAAAAACAAACTGCTCATGGTGTCAAATCACCATTTTTTACTCGTAGGGGAAAGGAGGAAGGGAAGAAATTTCCTTCCTTAACCCCTCTCTCTTGCTAGATAAAACTCAGGAGAAAAAGTCCAAGCTGTTTCATAGCTTAAGTTCATGGATCTCAGGAAAAGGGCAGTTCTTCTGATAAAAGTCTGTCTTTCCCAACTGGAAACAAGTCAAAGTAGTTCCATGTGTCTTCTCAGTAAGTAAGCAGTAGAAATGCTCACTTTCATGGGTGATGTTCTTCAGATGACTCTAAGTAACTTTTTCATCAACTACCTAACAGATTTCAAACAAAGATATCTTGAAATATGTCCAAAATAGAACTCGCAATCTACCAAATATTCCATTTTTTTCAAAGGTACTACCATTCTTCCAATCTCCCAGGTTCATAATCTCAATGTTATCCTCAATTCTTCATCCTCTCTCACCTCACATATCCAATTAATTGTCAAGTTTCATTATTTCTACCTCTTCAACATGTCACACATCAAACTCTTTCCCTTTAAGACTCACAAAACTACCCATTAATTTCAAGGCTTCTTCACATTTCTCCTAGACTATCCAAAGACCTCCTAATTGGTCTCCCTGACTCATCTCTCTCCATTACAATCCAACCTCTGTAACAGCTACCGAAGTTATTTTCCTTACACATGGATATGAGTATGTCACACACACAGGGGTATGTAAATTCCAGTGTCTCTTGTCTCTAGGATAAAATATAAACTCTTTTCTTTGACTTTTGAAGTCCTTCAAACGTGACTCCAAAATATCTTTCCAACTTCATTATGTATTGCTCTCTTTCCTGCATTGTATTGGCATTCTCTCTGTTCTACACATGACATTCAATCTCCCATTTCAGGGTCTTTCCATTGACCATCCCCAATGCCTCAAGCATATTCCCTCCTCACTTCTTCCTCATGGAATCCTTTTTATTCTTCAAAACCAAGCTCAAGCACCACCTTCTATACAAAAGCCTTTGCTGATCTCTCCAAATGCTGATGATTCTGCTTTATTTCATCCTACATCAGTTCATACAAATTTTCCCATGTTTCTCAAATTCTTTAGGAATCTTTCCTATTTACTTTGAACTTATTACCTTGTAATTATTCTCTATATACTTACATATGTACTTATTTCCTTCCCTCTCCTACCCCAGCACCCTATGGAATGGATAGAATGTAAGCTCCTTCAGAGTAGATATTGTTTCTTTTTTAATATCTATATCTCCAGTGCCAAGCACAGTACCTAGCACCTAGTAGGTACTTAATAAAATGCCAGTTGATTGATTAACAAAGGCACTGTAATCTTGTCAGGTTGATTATGGAACTCATCAAATTTATTAGCTTCCTTACACTAAATAAAACAACTTGGTTTCAATTTGGGAACAGTCAATGTAGCACGTATTGCAGGTAGACCAGTATACTCTTGAACAACTTGATGGAGCTGTCAAAAGGTCCAACCATTCTAGATTTCAATTTAGAATTATGGAAGAAAAATGACTAAACTGTTCATAGTCTTTGGCCCAGTGATTCCCAATACTGGGCAGATTGCCAAGCTGAGTCAGGGACAGAAAAAAAAAAGTCTTTCATGTACGTAAATATTCATTGTAGCAGTTTTCATGGTAGCAAAGAACTAGAAACAAAGTGAATCTCCTTTCATTAGGAGATGACTGAACAAAACTGTGGTAGTTAAAAAATGATGAATATGGAGAACGTGGAGAAAAATGGAAAGATGTGTATAAACTGATACAGAACAAAAGAAACACAACTAAGAGAATAATATACACAATGACTACAACAGCACAAGTGAAAATATCACCGAAAGGAAGTTCAACTGTGAGTGATAGAAAAACCAATGAAGGTCCCAAAAAAGATATAATAGAAGATACATCTTCTCTCATAGCAGAGGGATGTGGGACAACTAGGATAGAATATGGATACATTGTCAGACCTGGTCTCTGTAGCAAATATTTTTTGTTTGAATATTTTTATTTGTTACAAAGGGATGGTTCAATCTGGAGGCAGGACTGTGTTGTAAAAACAAAAAAGTATCAATAAGACATTTAACTTTTTCCCCTGGTCATCAAAATGGGGAACCTTGAGTGGCATTGACACTCACATTGGCAATCTTTTTCTTTTAAAAAAATATGAAAATATTTTTAAAATGAAAAAAGACAAAACATTTCATTTTGAAAAGATAAATAGAATGGGGGATGAGGGGGAACAACCTTAGGGGAAAGAAAAGAATTTTTAGGAGCCTAAATACTCCTAGCCAGCCTTTGATCCTCCTTACCCTCTTCTTAGTTTCACAAACATTTCTCTGTTTAAATTTATCCATCATTTTCTTTTCTTTTCTTTTCTTCTTTGGCAAGGCAATGGGGATTAAGTGACTTGCCCAGGGTCACACAGTAAGTGTCAAGTATCTAGTCTGAGACCGGGTTCATCATTTTCTCCATGTGCAAGTGGAGACCCTTTCTGAGGCTTAAATCAGCACCCATTTCATAGGCTCAAGAGAGAGAGGACCACTGTGTCTGCTGAGGTACATTGCAGAACTCTTTAGGTCACTGCTGACAGAAGAGAATACCAAGGGAAGTTTCAGTGACCTGGAAGGTTTGACTACTTCCAAAAGCTCCAGCTTCTCTTCCTTTCCCAATCAGTTCTCTTCTTTGGTTTTCCTGTTTCAATCAAGAACAATTCCTCTGACGTGTTAAAAGTTATTTTCTTTTTTTTTTGGTGAGGAAATTAAGGTTAAGTGACTTGTTCAGAATCACGCAGCTAAAGTGAGTGTTATGTGTCTGAGGCTGCATTTGAACTCAGCTCCTTCTGACTCCCGGGCAGATGCTCTATCCACTGTGCGACCTAGCTGCCCCTAAAAGTTATTTTCCCTCCCCATACATGGCTATGAAGGATTTCCTTGGCCACCATAGCAGGAAATATTATCCCATTCCTTCCTTGATAGCTAGATAGCTAGATATTATTAAGGGAATCATCTTATACTGCCTGAGAGTCACATTACACTAATCAGCTAGAAAACATAGCTTCCTCTTCACCTATAGGAGCTGCTCATTTGTCTCTATACTAACTTCTCTGGGTCATTTAGAATTTAGATTACTCTTCTGCATATTTTATCACTCCAGCCAATGCCTATTTATTTTGTATGTCACTCAGGGTTATGACCAACAAGCTCACTGTTCCTTTAGGCAACTGTTTTTGGAACCACTATTCTGCTCCTTTTTGAAATGGAATGTCATGTCCTTGTGCCCAGCACAGGGATCAGCTCCTTAAAACTACAGAGTTAGACTTTCTTCTTAAAGCTGGTTCTCCTAAACTTATTCTCTCAGTAGCTTAAAGTTAAGAGCCCATCCATTGTTATTCAGTTGATAGAGAGGTGGGAGTCAGGAGGGTTTGGTGGAAGTCAGGATCATACAAACTGGAAGAAGTTCTGATTTAGGTAGGGTTAACTGACCTATGCTATCATATAATCTAGTTTGAAGGCATTGTGGTATAGTGGAAAGAGCATCAGTCAAGATGCTACCATTAAATAGTTATATGAGAATAAGTCATTCTATCTCTCTGGGCCTCAATTTCCTCACCCCCCACAATGGAGATAACTAAAAGGGTCATGAAATTGCTCTGGAAACCATATGGCATTATATAAATGCCTTATCATCCCACTAGACATTTACCCACACAGTTTCAGGTCAAAGTACAACTCTTGTTGGGATGCTGGAAAGAGGATTGGATTTGCTGACCTCATAAGTCTTCCAACTTTAAGACTAAGTGATTCTCCCCATATACACCAAAATGTTTGTAGCAGCCCTTTTTGTAGTAGCAAAGAATAGTAATAGCTAGCATTTATATAGCACTTTAAGGTTTACAAAGTGCTTTACACATGTTATCTCATTTTATCCTCATAACAACCCTGGAAGATAGGTGTTATTATTATCCCTGTTTTACAGATGAGGTAACTCGGGCAGACTGAGGTTAAGGGACTTGCCCAGTATCACACATCCAGTAAGTGTCAGAGGCCGGATTTGAACTTAGGTCTTCCTCATTCCAGGTCTAGCACTCTATCCATTGTACTGCCTAACTGCCTTAAACTGGAAATAAAATAGATGCCCATTGATAGGGCAATGGCTAGACAAGTTACGGCATATGAAAATAACAGAATATTACTATGCTGAACACAGAGGCATATGAGAAGTCTTACATGAACTGATGCAAAGTAAAGTTAGCAGAACCAGGAAAACAATATATGTAAGCACTGCAACATAAATGGAAACAACAATAACAAAACAATCAAAACTGAATGCTGTGAAATTATCATGACAAAATTTGTTCTCAAAGAAGAGATATCAGAATATACCTCCTCTGCTTCTTTGCAGAGGTCAGGGACTTTGAATGGGCCAACATTGCCTATTTTGATGTGTTGGTTAGTTTTGCTTAACTGCTTTTTCTCACTTTTGGAAATATTGCGAAATGTAGGTGTTAGAAGAAAACATATTAATAATTTTTTTGATGAGTCAATGATCCTAGGATTTGTTTGATCCCAAGACCTTGGGCAGGATTTGGGGGCTTTTGATTTTTCTGAGAGTTATTTGATCATGGTTAGGAGGCTGTTAGGGGGAGGTGGGAGGAAAAGGAATGGTGAAGCTCACTTCATATCAGCAAAGGCTAAGAAGATATTACCAGAAAAGCAACATAAAGAAGGAGGAACATTACAACTCCAAATTCCTAAGAGACACACAAGTAAGGAATGAGGCTCTGTTTGTTCCTTAGTCTCAGCTCTCCATTTTGTCCACTAAGGAAAATCTCAAAGCCAGGTAAAGATTCTATTTACTACTACTCTTCTAGAGAAGCCTGGATGCAGATACTGATTCCTATAGAATCTAATTCCAATCAGTGAATGATAATCAACTAGATTGATAGAAAAAGAAAAAAAAATACTGTTTATTTCACACAACTACATCAAATACTTCTCCTCCCACCCAACCAGAAAAAAAGACAACCACTTGACACCATAGGGTCTGACCTTGCCCCATGACAGATAGATAAGCACAGAGAGAAATGGACTTAACAAAATATGATCTATGAGGCAGGAGGGCATCTGGGTGTCGGCATACTGAGAAATGGCATGTCTTCCTATATTTAGTCCTAGTTGTGTTGTGTGGTCTATCCGGATGCCTATTTATTTTGTATGTCACTCAGGGTTATGACCAACAAGCCCACTGTTCCTTTAGGCAACTGTTTTTGGGACCACTATTCTGCTCCTTTTTGAAATGGGAATGTCATGTCCTTGTGCCCAGCACAGGGATCAGCTCCTTAAAACTACAGAGTTAGACTTTCTTCCTAAAGAGAAAGAAAAAAAGAGAAAGCTAATAATTTTTCCTCCACCCTTCCCATTATGCACTTAGCAGCCACTGGCTATGATTCCAAGTCCAGAGAAAGACTCCCAAAATTCATTCCAATTGCTCTCAGTACCTGACAATGAAAAAGATTCAAAGAGACAGTGACCTGGAACTCCCACTGATAGAATTACCTAGAAGAGCAGTGAGGCATTTTATAATGATCAAATGACATAATAAGCTAATAATAGATAATAAGCACTTTGTAAATATTAAAGCGCTATTTAAATGTTAGCAATTATTTTCCCAATGGTCGGTGGGGTTGTCTGTATATTTTTTCCAGGGGAGTGATGGAAAATAAGAAGTCTGCTTCTACCCCACTATTAGTGACATCACATTTCCCACTCCTGAAAGCTCTGTCTTAGACAGAAAAGCTAGTCAGGCTAAGTCTCACCTAAGTCACTGGGGTTCAAGGCAATTTGCAGGTATTATTAAGCATCATTTACATGAATCCTGATCACCACTGAGAGGGTGTTTAGGATTTAACCTAATTCTGAGAGGTGCAGATGTAGACTAAAATGGGACATAAACTGAAACCTTGTCTAGGTGAATCCCTAGATGTCTCCCTATGTTCTCTCTGATGTTGGCTCATAATCCTCTACAGCTCCTCTCTTTCCTCATGTTTATTTTCCTCTTTAGGCAATGTGAAGGGAAATAAATCCTAGTTCTTCCCCCTACCACATTCTCCTTTCTCAGGTGATTTGGTCTGAATGAGGGAGAATAACCCTGAACATGCATTTCTTTCGATCACTGGCAGGGCTACAGAGCCATTAAGAAATGTTGACAGTGCACAGGGCTAGGAGATCTCAGCTGGGAGTTGGAAATGAAGGAGAAAAGTAGAGCATGCCAGTGGAATCTGGAGCAGGAAGTGGATCTCATAATTGCAATGTGTTTGCAAGATCCTGGCTTGTGTTTGCCACGCTGCCTCTCCATGTAAGCCAAATTTTGGGTGAACTGGGCAATGGACAATCTCCTCTTAGAAGACAGGAGTCTATTCTAACCATGGGAAGAGCATGTGGGGACTTGGGAGTGGGCTAACCCTAGGGTGTACCCTTTTGTTGTTAGGGACCTGACTCAGTAAGGTAATGGAAGATGTAGAGTGGTAAGTTGTGTAAGCAAAATCAGGTTTATCTAAAAAAACAAGTCCTGTCTGACCCTTTGAAGTCATACGGCCAAATCTATGTTATAATAGCTAAAGAAAACTGAGTAAAATTTTGGAGAAGGAAACAGGCCAGTGTTTTGTTTTGTTTTTTAAGCATATCTGAAATGATTCAGGGGTATAACAGGGTGAATTTACAAGTACAGACTTGGGCTGGGCCTCTGAACAAAGAGAATTTCATCTTTAGAGTCTAGAGCAAGAAGTTAATTGAGAAAGTTTAAGTTCAATCTTCTGGGTGAGGGGACAGGAAGAGGGAAGAATGTTAGGAGAAGGAGTATCAGCTCTTGCTGAGTTTTGCTCCTTTTCCTGAGGCAGGCCTGGTTGTCTGGGTTTGTTTGCTTTTTAATTTAATTTGCTCCTCTGGGGAGGCCCCAGTGCTGTGCTTGACAGGAGGAAGACACAACATTCTCTTCCTCATTTTTCTCCAAAGTTTACTGCTTTGTCAGCGGGGTTTTTCAGACCACACTCAGCCCAAGCACAATTTTCTCCTTAGATGTTGGGGGTGGAAGGAATGAAGGAAAGGCCAGGGACTGACATTATATACAAGTCTGGGAGGTTGGTTGGTCCCTAGAATGACCCAGGACCTCTGTTCCACTGAAGGCATGGGTAGCTAGGGGCTTGGCAATCACTATTTTCTCCTCCCATTAGAAGCATGGAATAAAGGAATCTGTGTTAGTGCAATTTGTTTCCAAAGGAACAAGGGTAGGGATAGGAAGGATAAGGGAGTGGTAACAGATATGTGACAAAGGGGTTCAGCATTCAAGGACATGGCTCTGGGAACCCATCTCCTGAACAGCACCCCAAGCTTCATTTATTCCTGTCCCATGGATCCTTGAAAAGGGGCAGGGCACCTGACAGGATCAGGAGGCTCAATGAGACTGTGTTCCTCTGTACACAACCACAGAGGGACCTAAAGGAGAAGTGGGAGCCGGGCAGAGGGTGTCACAGAAAACAAGAGTGTAATGGTCAGTGTCCCTTCGGACTTGCTAACCCCTCACAGGGACAGGCATTTGGGTTCCCAACTAGAATTCCTCCCTTAAAACCACTTTTGCAAAGTGCTTTTCCCCAGAGATCATTGGCTCCTCTGGCTTGGCTCCTCTACAAAGAATCTGGGGCCCTTAGAACTGCCCCTCTTCCCTGTCCCTGCCATGGGACACAGATAGAGGGAGGAGCCAGGCATCAGACATGCATGCAGCCCTCTGCTGGGTACCGTGACCCAGGATTAATGCAGCTACACCAAGTGAAGGGCTGGCTGCAGTCAGGGAGTGGCAGTTGCAGGCTGGCTGCCAGGGGAAGAATACAAAGTGCTAAAACACAGGCCCTAGGGGAGGGGAGTGGTCTTCTCCACTAAGCCCCTAGGGAATCTGAAAGACATTCAGCTTGCTGGTGTTCTTAAGTGTCTGGCGTCGATTGCAGAACCAGACCCTTACAACTTCTCGGTCATAGTTGAGCTCTTTAGCGATCTCCGTGATCTCCTGACCAGTGGGCAGAGGGTTCTTTTCGAAGTAGGCATTAAGGGCCTCAATGGCCTGTGGGGTGAAGGATGTGCGCCGTTTCCGTTTCTTGGAGGGCTCTCCACCCACAAACTCCATCAGGTTCTGCTGGCCCTCCTGGTTTCGAAGCTCTGCCTCATTCAGCCACTTCTCCAGCACAGGTTTCAGCTTTTGGGCACTCTTAGGGGTGATGTCTAACTTCTCAAACCTGTAGGTGCCCCAGCCCCAGGGAAGCAGAGATGAAGGCTGAGGTAGTCTGGACCCATCCAAACCCACCCCACCCCGCTTCCCAATCATAACCCTTCACTCCCAAAGGCATAGCACCATAATTTAAAGCTGGAAAGAACCCTAGAGGCTCCAATCCCCTCATTTTACACGTAACTAAAGAAGCCTAGAAATCCAACCCCCTCATTTTACAGGTAACTAAACTGAGGCCCATAGAGGTTAAAATAACCTCCCTAAGGTAACACAGCTAGTAAATGACAGAGTCGGAATTTGAACCCAGGTCTTCTGACTCCCAGTCCAGTATTCTTTCCATTTCACCATGCTGACTCCCTTCAACTCGGGTGTTCCCCTTACATGGGACAGGAACGACTTTACCACCAATATCTTCCCTCTCATTCTCACCCAAGTCTGAACTTCTAGAATTGTCAGACTCTCCTAGATTCTAAGAACATGGAGAGGAAAACCATTTCCCTCCCTCAACATACATCCAAGACATGACTAAAATGATTGAGAATGACTTTTAAACAAATTTATCAGAACTTATACAAATATAAATAGTCTCCTTCAAAAATAGTCACTTTGGTAGACTACACATGGATCCACTCACAACATTTTTAGAGCTCCTTTCTTAGAACTCTTTGGAGTCTATTTATGGAGGATATAAGAAAAATCAGTCCCTTCGCTTTATCATCACACTTTGCACAGGGATGCTATATTCCCCCGACTCAGCTCCTTGCCCTCCTCCCCAATGGAAGTCAGCTCTTTAAATACAGCAACTTGCTTTCATTTTTGTCTCTATATCCCCAACACTAAGGCAGGAGTGGAGAACCTGAGATCTTGAGGCCACATGTGGCCCTCTAGGTCCTCAAGTGTGGCCCTGAAATTCAGCCAAAGGGCCACATTTGAGGACCCAGAGGGCCACATGTGTACTTGAGGCTGCAGGTTTCCCACCCCTGGCCAATGGCTATGCCTTGAACACAGTAGGCGCTTAATAATTGGTTGTTGGGTTGAATTGAGGAGGATATGGAAGCAAAAGTGGGTTAAGAATATCTTGCAGGAAAAAAAAACACAACAGTATTGTGCAGGGCCATAATTAAGGGATGAGCTTCTACCCTGGCTCTCAGCTTTGTGGCTAAGTACCTGAATACCCAGAGTATCTTTTGTCTCTGGAAGCCCTGAACTGAAGAACCTGACTCAATCCCTAGAGAATTCAGGCTTTATGGGATGACTTAGAGGAATCCTAGAAGTACAGAGTTCTCTAGAGATTCAAGTCATACCCTTAGGACACCTTTCCTCATCTTAGAAAAGTCAGGTGTGAGGAGTATAGGGAAAAAGACAGGATACATGGGCATCTTTGAATTCTGGTACAGCCAGGGACTCCCATCAGCTCCCCCTACCCTACTGAAGACCCTACCTAGAACTCACCGGCATATTGCTGACTGGCTATAGGCAGGTCCTTCTGTGGCAGTCAAAGCCTGGCCCACCTGAGTCTGGGTGAGGCCCAGGGAGAGCCGCCGGATCTTAAAGTTCTTAGCAAACTCCCGGATCTCTTCTAAGTTTATCCCATCTTCATCCAGACTTGGGGCTTGGGGCTCTAGGCCAGAGGAAGGAACCACAGGTGGGGTGCATAAAATGAGAACTATCACAGACAGCAGCAGCAAGAGCAACAGCAAGAGACCACGCTATTTGGCAAAAGGCTCATGCATCCTTCAGACACCAGTGACCCCAACCCTAAGCTCAGGCTGGGAGGAGGGGGAAGGGTATTCAGAGTCAGCCAAGCTAACCATCCTGGAGCCAGGGAGGCAGCTCCACAAGCTTCTGCCTCTGATCATGGACCCTCCCCCATTTTCTTTACGACTAGTTCTTCATTTCCCCTTCTCTAAGCAGTTCACTCTGGACACTACATTCCGCAAATACTGGGTGAGAGGTTCAACAGGGAAGGGCAAGGCAACTAGCCTCTACTACTATGCCCAGTATCTAGACTAACAGGAATGGGAGCTAGGGAAGCTAATCCCAGGAAGCTGCCCTCTCTCTCATCATCTATCCATGACAGAGACAGTCAATGGGGCCCTTGAGGAGACCAGCCATTAGAGGAGAAATGAGCTCCCAGTGGAAGTCCCTTACTCTCCAATTGCTTCCCCAGCCCCACCTACAGCCAAGTATACTTACTAGACACCAGCTGACTGACAGTAGGAGTCTCTGAACAGGTAATAGGGATAGGAGCTGAAGCAGAAGGCTTGGCCGCTGGGGCTGGGTTGGTGATGACCACAGCTGGCTGGGACACAGCTGGTGTGGGCTGGATGGGTTGCACCTAAGGAGATAGCAAACCCATCTTCTGCTGCCAAAATACCTGATCTCAGGGGGATGGTTCCCTTATCTCAATGAAAAGTGGCTACAAGTTCAAGGGTAAGAATAGTAGGAAATCCTTATTTCCTGAGGCCCCTTTCTCTGTACTAGCATTGAGACAATGCCATACTATCATGGCCCAACAATAGCACCCACATGGAGTAAGAGGCTACCAGAGGGGCCCATCAAACATGCTTCTTATTCTTTTTTAATAATTAAGAATTCATCATTTTAATGCAATTTGTTAGTAAGTAAAAGAAATGCAGAGTTGTGGAGATCTTCATACTTTTACTTGTGGAGATATTGCATATTTTATAAAATAATTTTATAAATCAACATGGGTTTGACTAGGAGTTAATGCTTCAATTTCTTATAACATGAATGAATTTTCTATATGACAAACAATAAGAAAATGACATTTTTGTTTTGACATCCACAATTACTATGCCAATCTTAGTACATAGTACAGTACTTGGCACATAGTAGGCACTTAATAAATGCAAATTGAATGAAATCTATTTCTAAGGCTTCCTAGGGAGGTCAGTTCACTCCAGGAAGAGTCCTGAGTTCCAGAGTAGTCCTCCCTGATTAATTCTGAAATAAATTAAACACCATGCCAGAAGCTCAGGAATTTAACACCTTTCAGACCCTGGATGACCTAGAATCACAATGCATCTCTTGTTGCCATTTCAGGCTCAGACCAATCAAGTCTGCACACATGAGTATGGAGTGAGGACCAGCATCCAAGGGGAATATGAAAGCCTGTTTCCTTGTATATTAACCTATCTACCTTTCAAGATTGTTTCAGGGAATGTGTTCTGTAAGTGTCAAACTTACAAAGTAAGCTGTTACTATCATCATCATCATCAGTGATAATGGCGACCACCAAGGTTTGTTGGTCTTTCCAGCTTGACTCTTCAAGTACCACAGTCGAGTCCTGAGACACTTTACATACAGCCTATTTGGGGCACTGGCCTCCTTCACTCCAAGGGTAGCTCTAGCATTGTGAGTCCAGGAACTGATGGCTCATAAAATATGATCCTAATAGAGACTATGTGCTGTTCAGCCATAGCCCAGTCTATTAACTATGTTAAAGTTATCCCATCTTGTTTGTACATAGTTCTTCTAATGTTGTTTACTCCATTAAACAGAGCGATCCTTGAGAGCAGGGATTGTCTTTTGTCTTTCTTTGTATTCTTGTCGCTTAGTACAGTGCCTGGCCTATGGGAGGCACTTAATAAATACTTACTGACTAATTGTCAAGTACTCTTCCTTGCCTTGCTGGCCCAGGCTGATTACCACAGAACACTTCAGTTTCCTTACCTCATTCTTGGCAGGTGACTCTGGGGTACTGGGCTTCCGGATAGCTGCAGGGGGAAGAGGGCTGCTGGCCAGTGTAGCAATCACTTGACCCTGGGCATTCAGTAGTAGCTGGGGGGTCACAGCTTGGACCTGCAGATTCTGTGCTGGAGCTGGGGCTGCTATGCTGGCTGAGTTTACCACCCATGGGAGAGTTCCAATGACCTGAAAGGGGACAAGAAAAGTAGACCTATGGTTAAAGACAGATATTAAATCTTATCATTCTCTGCCACTCCAGATCCACATGTGGACAGACAATGGGTTATGCCTTCTGAGGGCCTCAGTTTCCTCATTTGTAAAATGAAGAGGTCTGACTGGAAGATTTCCAAGGTCCCTTCCAGCTCTAATGTTCAATGGCTCCCCTTAGTGTTCCTTCCATCTCCATTCTATCCAGAGAATCTTTCTAGATCCCCTTTGCTTTTAACATTCAACTCTAATGCCACCTCCCACTGCCCTTCCATGGCTCAACTTGTAGCTCTGGACTCATCCACTTGCCTGCCCTTGTGCGTTGGTCAAGATCTGACTCGTGATCCCAGGCATACTGGGAATGGCATTGGCGATCACTGGGGTGGTGGTCAGTGAGCCCAGGATCTGGGTCTGTCCCCCAAGGGAGGCAGCACTGATCTGTGGGAGGAGGAAATGACTAAAATAAGAACCCAAATGATAGGGATAGGAGAATGAAGACCTGAAGGAAAAGGGAACGGGGGGGGGTGGGAATTAGAGGAGCTCTGCAGAAGATGTGGCCTTTGTTAACCCAGTCACAGACTCAGGGCTGAGTGTTTAGACTCAGCTGGTTGGCAGGAAGCAGGGTGGAAAGGACAGATGGGTAGCAACTAATATCCTGTTGGGCTGATGGTAAGATCTAATTGGTCTCATTACTCGGGCATGAGACTCCTCAGCATTGGCTTTCATCTGAATCCTGCCTTTATCCTATCCTAGAGACATCACACAGGACATCTTCAATCCTCAAAAATCCCACTCCGATCACCCAACCCATTTGGCATCTGGAGAATTCACCTTGTCTTCTGGGCAGAATTCGGTGGTCTCTAGGATGAGTTAGCAACACTTCTAAGAGAGAGTCGGTTTCTGGATGATGCTGGGTATGCTTTGGAATGACATGGCTCAAGTCCCTGAACTGGGGGAGGTAAAAAAGGGATTTCCCTACTCCTGTTGTGACAACTTTTTTCCTAAGCCTCAAAACTTGGACCAGACCCAGTCAGCAGAGGGTATGAGAGGTAGCTTACGATTCCTGGGTTAAATGCGAAGCCTGCAGGCTGGACTGTGATCTGTGTAGGAGTGTCTGCTGGCTTTGGGGCAGGGGTGGCAGCAGGCTGTGGCAGGATGGCAGGTGGGGTCTGCAGCAGTGGCTGGGGCTGGAACAGCGTCTGGGACTGGGCAGCAGAAGGCCGGGACTGGACAGGCGGGGAAACCTGCAGGGGCGGTGCAGGCTGCACTGGCGCTGGTAGAGCGGTGTTCAGGACAGCAGCCGCTAAGGAGCAAGGCAGAGACAGGGGCGCTGAAATGTCTTGCTGTACTCCGGACTGGTTCCATTCCCACAGGCACTGGTACAGACAGGGCAGCAGGCAGGCAGGAGGAAAGGGGACCAGAGGGGAATGGGAGACAAAACCCAGTAGAGAGACAAAGGCATGAAGGGCAGCTGCCCTGCCTCTCTTTCCTTGGAGGCAAGGGGTCACATGCCAACATCTCTCACCCATCTGCCAGAACCACCCCCTCCCATCAGGCTGAGACACTTGTAGGTTTTAAAGCCAGGTCTTGACTCTTCTTCAGGTCCTCCTGAGGATGCTGGTCACCTGGTGACCTCTTAGAGTCTGACAAGGGATAAGGGAACAGTCACAGACAATTGTGGTTGCGGCCCAGAGGCCTCTTTGGCCCCCACATGATGCTGTAGCCCCAATCTTGTGATGTGCAGAGGCCTCCATGGCTGAGTTTCTGGGCTGTATGCTCCAGTTTCTAGGATTGTCTTCCCAAGGATGAGCTTCTGGTTCTGAGCTTGGCATGGAGGATGCACAGGAGGGGAGGACGAAGTGGGGCAGAGGGAGAGTGGCCTCGGTGTTGTCCTGGGGGTGGTGCCATTACCTTGCAAACCAGCTAAAGGCGGTTTGAAAATCCCCCCCGTGGGAGAAGCAGCGGTCAGTCCTGGGAGGGCAGCCACGGTTGCTGTAGGAATTGTCCACACGGCCAGCCCCTGCTGACCAGCCACTTGACCTGCAATACTGATGGGGATAAGAAGAGGTTGAGTAACAGCTCCTGCTGGAACCATTACTCCTGTCAGAACTGTTGCTAAGTTTTCCTGAGTCAAGACCTGCAAAAGCAAACGAGATTTCAAAAAGAAAAGAGAAAAAAATCAACGTTGACAGCCAAGAGCACCAGGCCTGCCAGACCTGGGGGAGCATAAACAATGCATTTGAGGGGCAAGGGGGAAGAGGAAGGGGAAGCATAAACAATGCATTTGGGGGACAGGGGGAAGAGGAAAAGGATCAGATGGGTTAAGGGAACAGCTAAGGCTTTCAAGGCCACCTGCACCCTAGATTTAGCTGAGGGGAGTGGGGCTTTGACAGACCAGAACCTTCCCTCTCCCCAGTCCCAACTGGAAAGGAGGACAGAGAAGGGTCACAAAAGGATAGTGCTCCAATCTCAGACCCTGGCCTGGCCCTAGGGCAATAGTTTCAAGATGTGGAAAAAGAGGCATGGCTCCACTAAGGCCTGTTCAAATGGACAGGACTGGACCATAGGCTCCTTTCTTCTGCAGGGATCTCCTAGATTTCCCAAACTTATCTGATCTGGGCTTCTTGGCTTGGGGGCTCTTCAAAATATCCCAATAGAGCAGGGCTTGAAAGGGTACAGTGTGGCCAAGGCCATATGAAAATCTAAGAGAAGCTCTAGGGTTAAGGAGAATGCCTGCGTTGAGTTAATTGGGCTCTGAGGCTAGGTTCTTAGCCTGGTACCCATGAACTTAAATTTTTTTTAAATAACTGTATTTCCATATAATTGCTTTTCTTTGTAATCCTATATATTTTATTTTATGCATTTAAAAACATTCTTTTGAGAAGGGGTCCATGGGCTTCATCAGACTACCAAAAGGGGCCAGGACTCACTATTTTAAGAACTCCTGATCTAGTGTACCTTTGTAAGTGATCAAAGGTCCCAAATGGATTTTAGCTGACTCACAGAGCCAGATTCTGGCCATGTCTAAGCCAGAATCTAAGTAGGATTGCTTTGGTTATTGGGTTAACTGTTTGGGGCCTCCATGGAGTCCCAATGGGACCCAATAGGGTCCTACTCAGTGTACAATTTAGAAAGATTCTCAGTTAGTGGACTAATAAACACTCTAGTAGCCTAAAGAAATAATATAACTTTCAAAAGACTTTGCTTTTACCAAGGGCCTGCCTCATGGGCAGAGTGGGATGGAGGAATATCTGGTCCAGTGAATGATTTTCAATGGCAAATTCAAGCCCAGTCTCCCTTTTAGTCAGTGTCTATGACAGAGAGACTGAAATCCTAGACACTGTATTAGAGCAGGCCAAAGACCAAGACAGGGAAAAGTGTGTGTATGTACTATGTGTGTGTTGGAGTGGGGAAGGTGGAGAGGGTAGGGAAAGTTGTTCTCAGGGGCTATTCCCTCCCCAAACCCATAGCCCATTCCAGAGCCAGGCTTAAAAAAAAAAAAAAACTTCATTCCAGTAACTTATTTCCTCCCCTTTATGCTAGCTTCCCCCTTTCTGCCCAATATGAAGATCCCTAGATGGTGCTTACCTGGGGAGTGGCTTGTACAGCCAGTGGTGTCAGGGTCTGTGGTGCTGGAGGCTGACTAGATACTTGGTTAAAGGTGGCAGCAGTGGGCACAGGGCTGGGTGTGATCCCAGTCAGTGATTTCACTTTACATGGGAACAAGAGAGACAAGGAAATGGGAGTGAGTCAGAAAGAGGTAGTCAAGAGAAACTCATCAGCTAGAAGTGCTGCTCCCTTCTCCCCCAATATCTGACTAAATAACCCTAGAATTAATTATTGCCCAATGCTTGTCACTGTGTTTCCCTAGATAGGGGTGGGGAACCTGCTAAGAGAAGTTTCACAAAGTTTGGATTCAGTCAAAGAACTGCACAGGAGGACTTAGAAGGCCACGTGTGGCCTCAAGGACACAGATTCCTCATCCCTGCCCTAGATAAACAATGGAGTGTAGATGGGTAGGAGAGAAGGGTTCTCCAACTACTCCTGGCAAAGAAAATGGAAATTGCTGGAAAGCCCATTTGCCCATGGTAAATACAATAAGTTAAAGTTAGCCTCTCCCCCAAGCTAAATACAGTACAGATGGGGAGGGGGGGGGGGGGGGGGGATCAGTCTCTCTCTGTCTTGAACTCCATCGGCATCCATAGCTTAGGATGCTACTATCCCAGAAATTCAGGAACATAGATTGATCCCTTTCCTGGATTTGTAGGGCACAAAAACCTGTCTTACTGTGTTACAGTCCATCTTCTGATGAACCACAAGAAAACTGAGTGTAGGCTGTTATTATTCCCTATAACTTTGCAAATATATCTATAAGGATTTGCATGTTCCCTTCAATGCCCAGGTTCTAAGTTTTTAAAGTGAAAGAGACCAAATAGATGGATATAGCTGGCAGAAAAAAACAACTTGAAGGTCAATATTCTGGGTCCTTTAAAGAGAGAGAATGGAAGGAAGAATAAGGACTTAAGAAGAGGGAAGGAAGAGCTTCCTTAAGGTACTCTGAAGACCAGATAATAAGGTCACTATTTAGCTTTGAGAGAGAGGGATCAAAAGAATAAAATCTGGTTACTTTATACCTAAAAAACTTTGTTCACAGGGGTGCATCAGAGGTAGTTGGCATGGTTGGGAGAGGAAGGAAGAGAAAAAAGATTGACTATTTGAAATAGTCTGAAAGAATTCACTGGTTTTCCCCCTACTGTGAGCCAACAAGCTTTTAAGTCTGTACTAGGGTTGGAAAGGATGGCAAATACCACTCTTCTCTTTCCACTAGGATGCTCTTTGAGCCAAGATGCTTCCACTGAGTCACTGTCAGACCTGGCCTGCTTCCTTTCAGCCATCTCAGGCGCCTGCTACCAAGGCCACTGAACAATTAGCTTCTCTGGTTTTCTAAAGGATGTACTATTAGAGCTTTGCTTTAGGCAAGAGTTCTTAGCTACTTCCCTAGTCTACCCAGGGGTGTGACAGTCACCTGGTGGAAAACCTCTTTGTGCCACACAGACCCAGAAAGATGTTCAGCAGGTACAAATATATGAGTAGATAGCTGCCTGTGAGATCTGATTTGTACAAATTTCTTTCCCACTATCTCAATGATTTAGCAGGGGACAAAGCCTTGCAGTGTATGATGAATAATGCTTCAAAGGAAAATGTCCCTGTGAAAAGTAACACATTGAATCAAAATCATACCAATGTTTAAAATGATATACTAGTGTGCTTCTTTGGAGCAGGTTTGGATGACAGGTAAAAGGGCACTGAAGATTGGGAATCACAAAAGGGCAAATGAGCACAGAATGGGGAAACTAGGAGGTGCTGAATACACATTTCACAATTTTGCTGAGGGTCAGCCCAGAAGCCAGGTTCTAGCAGCTATGTTAAGACGAAAAGGGATCATTGGACGCAGTGGTCTTATTTTCCTCAGACAGGACAAGTGTATGGGGTGCCACTCTGATCCATGGGATACTAGATAGTAGAGGAATGGATATCATTCAACTGATTCTCATTCCCAAACTCAGCAAGTGCAGGAAAAGGGAGGGAGTGCTGGAAGGGAAGGCCACAAAAATATTTCAATATTGTTTCACATATAGTTTTGTATTTAGGCAAATGCTTGGTTAAAATGTTGCTGTTGCTTCTTGGAGATCTGTCTTTTCTCACCTTTGTTCATTCTCCCTTGCCATTTGCAGAGCCCCAGCCCCAGGCAGTGGTGGCGGTGGTGATGTTTAATGTTGGTGGTGGTTGGGCCTTTAATCTGATGAATGTTTTTAATAAGAGATAAACCCCAAATAGACATAGGGGAGAGCATATGAATCATAGTTCTAGGGGTATCTTGTGTGGACTGGAGGCAGCTTCCTGTGGAACTAGAAAGAGTCCCGGACTCTTTGAGAAGCAACAATGAAAGTTAACTTAGGTGTTATGCATATTGTACTTGAGTGGCCAAGGTCATAGATTTGAACCCCACATAGGTCAGTTAGCTTTTTTTTTCCTATTCCGTGGTTTCCCTAACCTTGTTCCATGTAACCTTAAGCATCTACAGTCTCACAAATGTGTACCATTAGTACAGAAAGAGCTAGGTGAACGAGTGTGACTATATCATCACAAATTCAGGCCCACTGTGGGGGAGGAAAGGGGAGAACAATTATACACTCCAACGAGTTACCTAGACTGAAAAGTTTCTTCAGACTAACTCAAGATAGTAAAGCTGGGATTTCTGCCCAGTGTCCCCTATCTATTCTGTCCTCTAGCTACTCCATATTACAAATAAAATTACATATTTGGGGGGACAGATTTCATGGTGTTCCCATGCTTTCTAAGATGAGCATGATAACCTAGTTTAGCCCTTTAATTCCCAAAGGATTTATTTAGACCCAAAATATAAAATCTCCTTTCCTCTTACCTTACCCTAATTCATACTAACCCAGTAGTGGGCTGGGCAGAAATGCAAACCATTTCCTGTAGACAAGGAGTTTGCTATATACCCGCTAACCAGCAAGAAGGCCAAACTATGGTTAGAAAATAGTGATATACAAGTGGTCAACAAGATTCTGATGTGAACTGGGGCCCAGAAGTTCATATTTATCCCTGGGACAATGTGGCATAGGAGATAGGGAGGAAATCAAAGAGCAATGGTATGGGAAGGGTGGCTTTATACCAGTTGCCTCTGCAGAGGGGTCTGGATTTTCGGGTCCTGTTTCTTGGGTGGACTTCTCTGCCTCAGTGGGGCCACCGCTCTGGGAGGTGTCAGCTGCCATGCTCTCCAGGCCTTTGCCTTCATCTTCAGCTGGGAGCTGAGCATCCACTCCAACTTCTAGTACTCGGATTGTCTCATGACCAGACATCACGATGACCTGCAAGAAAAGGGTGGGGACAGTTGACAGGGGAGATAGCCGGAGTTACAGCCCCTGGGGCTTAAAGCTCTATCCTCAGGTGGGGCAGGAAGGAGAGAGGAAAATCAGGACTTAAGAAGGAAAGCCTTATGCCCAAGTGATTTGTGTGACAGAAACCCCAGATGCAATTTCCCCAAGACATATTTCTAAAGAAAATGTTGCCCCCTCACCCTGTTACATGGCAGAATAATCTTTAGTGGGCAGATCAAACAAATTCCCGCTTTGCCTAGCTGTTAAGTTTAAATATTTGCTGGTCCAGTAGAATGGGCTGCTTTGGAAGATAGTAAATTTCTGGGTCACTAGATATCTTCAAGAGAAAGATAAATGATCATTTATCAGGGCTTTTGTTAGGAGTGACTTATGTTCAGGTAGAATTTGTACACACTAACCTATGAGGTTGTTTTCAACTCTGAGAGCATTGATTTCTACAATTCTTTTTTTTTTTAGCTTTTATTCAGTATTTTATTTTCCCCAAGTTACATGTAAAAACAATTTTTAACATTTATTTTTAAAACTTTGAGTTCCAAATTCTCTCCCTTCTTCCCTTCCTACTCCCCCACTCCATTGAGAAGGCAAGCAATTCAATATAGGTTATACATGCACAGTCATGCAAAACATGTCCATAATAGTAATATTGTGAAAGAAAACAGACCAAAAAAAAACTCAAGAAAAAGAAAGAAGGTTAAAAAAAAGTATGCTTCAATTTGTATTCAGATACCATCAGTTCTTTCTCTGGGGATAGATAGCATTTTTCATCATAAATCCTTTAGAGTTTTCTTGGATCTCTGTATTGCTGGGAATAGCTAAGTCATTCACAGCTGATCATCTTATAGTATTACTATTACTTTGTATCCAGCACATTTCACTTTGCATCAGCCCATGCAAGTCTTTCCAGGTTTTTCTGAGAGCATCCAGCTCATCATTTCTTATAGCACAATAGTATTCCATCATAATTACTTACCACCACTTGTTCAGCCATTCCCCAAATGATGGGCTTCCCCTCAACTTCTAATTCTTTACTGCCAGAAAAGAGCTGCTATAAATAGTTTTGCACATATAGGTCCTTTTCCTTTTTTTTTTTTAATCTCTTTTGGAATATAGACCTAGTAGTGGTATTGCTAGGTCAAAGGGTATGCATGGTTTTATAGCCTTTTGCACATAGTTCCAAATTGCTGGACAGTTCACAACTTCATCAACAATGTATTAAAGTCTCAATTTTTCCCACATTTTCTCCAACATTTGTCATTTACCTTTTCGGTCCTATTATCCAATCTAATAGGTATGAGGTAGTACCTCAGAATTTGCTTAATTTGCATTTCTCCAATCAATAGTGAGTTTCAGTATTTTTTTCATATGGCTTTGGATAGCTTTGATTACTTCATCTGAAAACTGATCATATCTTTTGATGATTTATCAATTGGGGAATGGCTCTTATTTTTATAAATTTGACTCAGTTCTCTATTATGTTTGAGAAATAAGGCCTTTATCAGAGAAAATTGTTTCAAAATTTTTTTTCACAATTACTATTTCGAACTGTATTTCCCTCCATCCTATTTTCACCTCCCCATTTATTCTATTCTCTCTTCAAAAGCATTTTGCTTCTGACTACCCTCTTCCCCAATTTGCCCTTCCATCACCCCCCCTTCTCTTATGTCCTACACCTCCTACTTTCCTATAGGGTAAGATAAATTTCTATACCCAATTGAGTGTGTATATTATTCCCTCTTCGAACCAATTCTGATGAGAATAAGGTTCACTCACTCCCCCTCACCTCCCCCCCTTCTCCTCCACTGTAAAAGCTTTGATTTCTACAATTCTACAATGTCTAAAATGTCTAAAATGCTCCTTCTCTTGGATTTAAAAAGTGCAAGAAGTGCAGGATCCCACATAGGCACAATGTGAAATATCCCTTTTCTAACACTGCATGAATATCTCTAGAGATGAGGCAAACCTGTGAAGGCCCCTAGCACAGAATTCACTGCATAAGCTGGGTCAGGAAATTCCCCTAGTTCCCAATAAGAAATTCCCCTAAAGACAAAGTTGTTTTTCCAATGAATGAAAAAAGCATTTAAGTGCTTATTATGTGCTTTTGCATATTTGGGGAGGAGGGACAGATTTCATGGTGTTCCCATGACCTCTAAGGTGAGCCTAGTGATCTATGTGCCAAGTACAGAGTAAGCATTTGGGATGCATCTAGAAAAAAACAAGATAATCCCTGCTCACAAAGAGCTTACATTCTTTGAGAGAAACAACACGTACAGGAGGGTTTAGCTGAAGAGCAGGTGGAAGGACCTAGTGGTCCTTAGAGTACAGCAACAGGGACCATGAAGCCTCAGGGATCCTTAGAAGGTGTTGGCAGGTCAGATAGCAATATCTGGAGGTCTAGAGGGTGTGAGTTGATAAGGACTGGAGATCCTCCATCTTGCTGGAATGATTATAGTTGCCATCTAATTAGTGTGAATGGCTATGTCCATCTTGCAGCTGGGAGTTAGCTGAGGGACCTACAAAGTTTTTTTTTTCTTTTCTTTTTAACAGATTCTGGGATGAAGAGATAAGGTCAGAATTTCCTTGCAATTTATATCCCTGAAACATGGTTCTACAACTGCTCACGACGTCCTTGAGTCTGTTAGCACAGCTCAGATAGCAACCTAATCATTTCACAGAATCTCAAAATTTTAGTGTTGGAAAAGACCTTAAAGACATCCAGTCCCAGCCATACCTGAAAGGAATTCATTCCCAATAAGTGATACCCGATAATGTTTGTCTTTATGGAATGTAAACTTGCTACCTCTCAAGGCAACCCATTTGACTTTGGGACAGCTCTGTTAGGAAAATTTTTTCCTTGACAGTAAGCCTAAATTTTCATCCTTATAACTTTTTCCTGGTATTGATCCATGGGGCCAAACCTGACAAATCCAATCATTCTTCCAAAGGACACACAGCCCTTCAAATATCTGAAGACTGCTATCATGCCCCCCTTGAGTCTTCCCTTCTCTAGATTAGATTTCAATTTCTTCAAACAATCATACAAAATGGGATTGGGGCCCTTCCACATCCTGGTTGCCCTCCTTTGGACTTTCTCCAGCTTATCAATGCTCTTAAATTATGTGCCCCAAACTCAATACAATACTCTGGATGAGATCTGACAAGAGATTTATGGGACCTTAACCTTCTTATTCCTGGAAACAAAGTCTCTCCTAATGGAGCCCAAGATGGCATTATATTTTTTTGGCTACTGTACCACATAGCTGCCTCATATTGGTCTACAATTCACAAATCACCCAACTATTCTGATTAGGTCCACTACAAATTTATTTTATACAACCTCAACTGGGCTCCCACTGCTGCTAAGTAATCCTTCTATGCCTGCCTTATCAACTCACTACCCCAATTTCCATAGTGGCTCTTCTAAACTTTTTCATCTCTCCTCAAACCCCCTACTCTTATCTGAGAACCTTGACTCATATTTTACAGAAAAAAATTGAGGCTATTCCCTGTGAATTCCTTCTTTTCTCTTCTTCCTCATCTCCTATCACTTAGACACTTTCTGCTGCTCTTTCTTCCTTCACCTTTGTCTCACATGGTGAAGTGGCTTTACTCCTTACCAAGGGTAACTCCTCTATTTGTTCAAGTGATCGAATTCCATCTTCTCTCCAACACATTGTCCTCTCTGTCATCTCCACTCTATCACTTACTTTCAATCTCTTCCTCTCTACTACCTCATTCCCTACTGTCTACAAATATGCCCATGTCTCCACCATCCTGAAAAAAAACCTTACTCATCCTTCCATCTCCATTAACAATCATTCTATATTTCTTCTGCCCTTTGTAGCTAAATTCCTCGAAAAGGCTATCTGCAACAGGTGCCTCCACTTTCTCTCTTCCCACTCTCTTCTTAACCCTTTACAATTCCACTTCTGACCTTATCATTCCACTAAAACTGCTCTCTCTAAAGTTACCAGTGATCTCTTAGTTGCCAAAACCAACGGCCCCAACCTCTCTGCTGACATGCAATCTCAAATCTTCAACTGCCTTTCAGACAACTTGAAATAGATATTTATTAGATATCTTAAAGGAAACGTGTTCAAAACAGAACTCTTTATCTTTCTCCCTAAACCCATCCCCACCCTCCTCCTACCATCCCTATTGCTGTAGAGGGCAACACCATCCTCCTAGCTGCCCCAGTTCACAACCTAGGAGTCATCTTTGACTCCTTACTATATCTTACCACTCCCCCTCCCCCATCCAGTCTGTTGCCAAGACCTCTAGATTTTACCTTTGCAACATCTCTCTTATACCTTCTCTCCTCTGACATTACCATCACTCTAGGTCCTCATCACCTCATGCCTAGAATACTACAACAGCCTGCTGGTGGGTTTGCCTGCCTCCAGTTTCTTCCCATGTAACTCTATCCTCCATTAATTTACCAAAGAGATTTTCCTAAAGTGCAGGTCTGATCATATCATACAGTTACTCAATAAACTCCAGTGGCTCCCTATCACCTCTAGGATCAAATACAAAATTCTCTGTTTGGCATTCAAAGCCCTTCATAACCTAACCCTTTCCTACTTTTCCAGTGTTCTTACATCTTATTCCCTGCCACAAGCTTTTCAATCCAGTGTCATAGGTCTTCTTGCTGTAGCACGAGCAAGACACTCCATCTCTCAGCTCCAGGCATGTTCTCTGGCTGTCTCCCATGCCTGGAATACTCTCCTCCTCAATTCCACTTATGGACTTTTCTGGCTTCCTTTTTATCCCAACTAAAGTCCCATCTTCTACAGAAAGCCTTCCCTAACTTCTCTTAATTCTAGTGCTATCTCTCTGTTAATTATTTCCTATTTATCCTGCTTATAGTTTGTTTGTATATATTTGTTTGCATGTTGTCTCCCCCATTAGATGGTGGGCTCCTTGAGGGCAGCGACTGTCTTTTGCCTTTTTTTTTTTTGGTATCCCCAGTGTTTAGCACAGTGCTTAGTAGGCACTTATTAAGTGCTTATTGATTGATTAACTGATTGGTTGAGGCCAGCAAATCTATATATCCTTGCCATGTTATTGCCTGGGGGAACTCTCAGGCTCCAAGGGATCCCACACTCATGGAATGGTCACAAATTCCCTAGAGTCTGTGGCAGACTTGAACTTTTCCACCCCAGAACTTGGCACAACACCTGAGAGCTCTCTCTCCAAACCTGTGCACATTGAAAAATCATTCAAACTGAGCCAAGGAAGCATAGAAGATATACTTGAACATTTTGAAAGCCGTTGGCCAGCCACTCCTGCCCTGCACATCACTCATGTCTGGGGCCACACTAGGACACCTTGCCCCTCCCCCCCAAGGGTTAGGGTTTCCACAATTGGAAACTACTCAGGATAACCTGGTGGAAAAGGCTCTAATTCAGCTCACGAACAAAGAGTGAGGAAAAAAGACCAATGTCATCCACCAAGGCTTCTGGAACTTGAGGTAAGCCTATGTCAGAGTTGGGCTCTGGATGGTTATGACAACTCCAAACCCTCTTTCCAATCCTCCTCACATCTGAGAGGCTGTGCAATCTAATGAAAGAACTACAAGTCTTAGTGAAGTTTTAAGCTATTAAAACTATTAAAGCTTAAAACTAGATTAAGATTTTTGGGACACTCTGTATTTACAAGTTAGTTGTATGACCATAGGCAAGTCTCAACCTTTTCTAGTCCCAGTTTCCTCTTTAAAATGGGGATAATAATACTTATACAGGGCTGTTGTGCAGAAGAAGTTTTATAAATTATAAAAAATAAGTGAGTTACACTTACTAGCTGTGTGACCCTGGGCAAGTCACTTAACCCCATTGCCTAGCCCCGCCCCCCCCCAAATGAGTGAGTTATTCTTGTATTTTTGTCTTTGTGTGCTTCACTCCTTCCCTTTCAATACCTGGGGTAGTAGAAAGAGTTGACTTGTAATCTGAAATTCTTAAACACTAAGTCTTGATTTTCTCATTAAGAGAATAAAGAAAAATACTTGCTATTTATCTCATCAGGCTATTGTGAAGCAAGTATTTCGTGAAAATGAAAATACTACAGAATTGTGAGCTATTTTTATTACCTGTTCGTTGACAGTCAGAGATGTGTCAGACCCTGCTCCAGGATCCATGGTCACTCGGAGGGGGTATGGTGGTGAGGCAAGCTCACCAAGCAGAGCATCCTGCAAGGGGTGGTGGAAAAAGCAAAGGATTATGTATTGCAGCCATATAATCCCCTAAGATACAGTCCATCAAATGGAAAGAGGCAAATGGATGGGGAACTGGACCAATGAACTGGATGAGGATGAGAAAGAATCTGGAATTCTTTCAGTATACCTGGAGGTGAAGGTCTCTACAGAAAATTGGAGATATCAGTGCTAGAGAGAGGGAAGCTGGACAGTTTTCCAGCTCCACATGGACCAAATCTTTTCAGTGTAGATTCCATTATTCAGTATAAAAATTTGTGAATTTCCAGATCATAAAATGCATCCACATTCGTACATATGGATAAAACATATTTCTAAAGCCAAAGAGAAATATATATTATATAATCCGCTGGGTTTTTCATTTTTAAATTTATGACATACATGTCTCCACTTTATTGGGGTAAAGAATCACGCATTGACTATAAAGATAAAACATGAGGCACAAAGGAGAATTCATACAGAACACACACACACACACACACACACACACAATCAGGCAGGAGAGCCTCTATCCTTGGCACTGATTCTTCTCCAAAATGTTCACTCATTATTTTCAGACAATGTGACGTGTCTGCCTCCTGGAGTCTGAGTTCATGACAATTCCTTTGGGTCAGAGTTGACCAACACCAAGGAAGAATACTTAGGGAATAGAAGGAATCAAGCATTTGCTAAGTATTGGCCTCAAGCAGCAAAATGTCAAATCAGATAGCATAAAAACAAGCTATCCTCAAAGACTGGGATAAGCAGTATCGGATGTACCCTTAAATTAACTGATTGAAACAAATTCAATCAGGAGAGACTGTGGGAAGATTATTTATTATTTATTATTTATTATTATGGCATTATTGTGAAGAGAGACTGCAACACTGCCAGACTGATACTAGGGAGCCCACTGATTAGGTAGAGGGTGCTGGAAATCGGGATAAGCTGGGGCATAGCTTGCCTGGGGTACCACTACCAGGAAAAGAGCTGAGCAACTGATAGCATTATATTTTCACTTTGTGTTTTGACACTGGTTTTTTTTTTTTTTAAACTTTCAGGCAATTGGGGCTAAGTGACCTGCCCAGGGTCACACAGCTAGCAAATGTTAAGTGTTTGGTTTGAGGCCAAATTTGAACTCAGGTCCTCCTGACCTCAGGGCCAGTGCTCTATCCACTGCACCACCTAGCTGCCGTTGGGTTTTGACATTGTTGAGTTCATGTCAATGTGGCAGCATGCTCTAAATTTTGTTGCCCATTCACATGACTTAGTTCAACTCTGTGAGTAACTCACTTTCCCAAATGAGGGAGACCTACAGTCAGTTCTGTTGACTGTGGCATAACCAGTAATTTTTATCCCTACTTTGGCATTATATCTGCCACTCCACATGGTTTGGGGGGGGGCTATCATCAGCATGTGTCTGCTCAAGGAAAGTAATCTACTTTTAATATTAGACCAAAGAAAACATAAATTGGAAAGTAAAAAGTAAAGGATGGGATGCTAGAAAATTGCAGGTTGCCCTTTATTGTTTGGCTAAAATGACTTAGAATTTCATAATTCTGGTACTAGATAGCCAAAGAAGTCTTTCAAACAGAGGAACAACAGAAATAAACCTGTGCACAAGGATGGTTGATGACCATCCTAACATCATCTGACGGTTGTATGAAGGATGGACTGTAGGTCGGGAGAAGTTGGAGATAAGGACACTAGCTAGGTTACTTTAATAGCACTGGTGGATAGTATACTATTCATACTACCATACAACCACAGTGGAAGTGGGAACAGAGATAAGGAGACAGACATGAGAGATGTTTTGGTGATAAGAGCAACAGTACTTAATGACTGAATTTAGGAGGTAAAGGCAAGGGAAAAGTCAAAGGCAATGCCACGGATAAAATTGCAGGTTTTGGAGAAAAGAAAATAAGTTCTGCTTTGAACATGCTGAACTTGAGGCAGTGGTAGAATATATTCAGGAAGAGATATACTATAGGCAGTAGAATATGTAGGTTTAGACATTGAAAGAGAGGTCAGAGTTGAAAATATCAATAGATCTATTGTTAACTAGATCTCTAGGACTAGGATCAGGAATCCTTATATCTTGGTAATAAGTTCCTCATCTGCACAGCTTGAGACTTTCTGAAGTCTTTCTGTGGAGCCAAAGGGGCTTCTGCTCTACATTTTAAAAAATACTCCAATTCAATGGCTCATGGCAAAGAGCAATGCGGTACACCTCTAGCCTCACCCCAGGTCCAGGATTTCCTTTTCCATCTGTGGAAAAATCAGGAATGAGGCTGACTAATGATTCTGGGACCTAAGGACCAGAACAGATAGGAAACCAGAAGGTTTCAAGTTTAAGTTATTTCAAAGAGCCTCAAGTTTATCTTGTGCTCAAGAGTATCTGCCTCAGGCCTCAGGCTCACTGAATGTAAAATGGAGATAAGAACAGGAAGAGACTTTGCAAAACTTTCTGGAAAGAAGAATTGACCACAGTACAAGGAATTGCAGTCCCAATGACTAAAGAAATCGAATGAAATGAAGGGGTAGTAGCACTGGCATTCAATTTTCTTTTTCATACCCTGACATTCACCATCCAAAACATTGCCAGGCAAACAATACTGACCAACCTAATAAAAGACTGCATACATTTGCTTCTGTTTCTTCTCATCTCTGCCCTGTTCCAACCTGAGCCATTTCAGGAGAAGAGAGAAGAAAAGAGGACAAAAGCATCATACCCCTTACTAGATTTCAGGATGCTTTGAGCTTATGCATAATTATATTCCTGGAAGCTACTTTCAACACTTAGCTTTTCTTTGCTTGGTATTCAGCCCCCCCCCCCCTTCAGGATTGGGGTCACTTGAAAATGTTTCCAAGGAAATGAGTGGTGAGCTTAAAAAAAATGTCCATGTTCACAAAACCTCAAGCCCACCACTCTCTACCTAGCTCCCTAGATATTTCATCTATGGCTGTAGTCAATGTCCACACTAACTGTACTGTCCTAAGAGACAGAGTAACTCAAATCCTATAAAATCATTCATGGCTACTTCTCAATTCTTTTTGGCACGTTCCCAAGCTGCATACAACTTTTCAGTATGTGCCTACCCCGGTACCATTGCTGTTTCACTATTCCTTTCATCTCTCCATCCACAACCCTTCAGTACCTGGTCAATGTCTCAGGCTGCATAGGGGCTTGGCAAGTAAAGTTTCAGCAGCAGGGTCCTAGATAAGGGTCTCCTGTAATAAATACAAGCATTCCCCAGAGGTACTTCACTGTATTGGTCGCTGTTACACGGGGGAAAGGCAGGAAATTAATTAAATATTAAAGCAGGAATAAGAATATAGGCCCTTGAGTCTGAAAGAAATCAGTCTTTGGGTCAGGATTTCCTTCAAACTAGAATTTCCGACATTGTTGATCTCCTGACCTCTTAAATTTACTTGAACAAAGCCTCGCTAAGACATAGACTAATTCAAGAAAGGCAGAGAGCTTTTTTCTTTTTTTGACACCGGTGACAATGGGGGGGGGTGGCAATATATTTTTGGAACACAGAGTTAGGAAAAGTGGCTAGGGTTAATTCTCTCTATTAAGACTTCTTTGTTTCCTGCTGCTCAGGTAAGACCCCCGACCCTGTCCAGACTCAGAGATTGCCGCCGCTGCAGCTGGGGTGTGCCACTATGTGGTAGATCCTATTTGCTGCGGATCCAAAGCGGGGAGGGGGCCGAAGGAGACGCCTCCCTCGGGTCTCCATTCTCTGTGGTGGGGGGCACATTAGCCCGATTATTATGATTATTTATTAACAATCATTATTGTGATTAAATATTTATGAAATACCCATGCCCTATTCAGCTCCAGTGACCCTCCCACTTCCCACCCTTCCAGTTACTCCCAAGGTCCCTACCACCCCAGCCCCCCTTTGAGTTTTCTAGCTGCTCAGCCAGTAGAGCCAAGAGGGAAACTGAGGCTCAGCCCGCTGTGCGGGGGACAGATTGACCCTAGCCCTCTATGAACGCTGGCGTCCAGGTCGGCTCACGAGCTGTTCCCGCAAGGTGGGGGGCGCGAGACTTCCACTGCTGTTTCTACCCCAGCTGTGTTGGGGGAGGGGGAGGGGAAGAAGGTGGAGAACCCAGCCCGGATCTCTAGCCGGGGCGCTCTGCCACTCGCGTCTGAGGTGGTCAGTGGGCTGGAACGGGCGCGGCCCCCAGGCTCAGGGCCCCCCAAGTCGGCGGGAAACGATGCGCTGTCCCAACTCCCTCCGTCGCCTGGTCCCTGAGCTACTCGTCGCCCCGGCCCTTGCCTTTTTTTCTCTCTCTCTCTCTTTATCATAAATATATAAATTATGCTAATTACGGGCATTGCATATTAACCAAACCCGAAACCTCCCCTGCCCAGCCCCCCTCCCCCCCTCTGCAAACCCCTCCCCGCCTCGGACCCCGCTACTCACCGGAGCCGGAGCCGCCGCCACCGCCTCGCCCCCAATGCTCGGCGCCCCCCGATTAGGGACTCATCTCACAGCCCGGGCCTGGGGGCCCAGGGGCCCGAGGGCCGGGGCCGCCAGCCGCCCGCAGACAAAGGAGCCAGCGCAGCTGGGCTCGCTTGGGCTCGGCTCGGCCGCGGAGCCGGCCCGGACCCGCCGCCCGCCCGCGCGCCCCTAGACCCCGGCCCGCGCCGGGTGGGAGTGGGAGTACAAGTGAAAGTGGGGGAACTCCGAGGGCTGTCAAGGGCGGGGGGCGAAGGGGGGCGCGGTTGGGGAGCAGGGAGGGAAAGAAGGGGGACAGTCGGATAGATATTTTTCTTTTCTTTTTTTAAAAACCTTTCTCTCTCCCCCTTCCCCCCGCCCCCCCCTCGCCTTTTTTCCCTCCTGCTACTTGGGAATTTTTTTAGCTGCTGCGTCATGAACATAATTTATGCAAAGAGCTTTGCCGCATGCTGTACCATTCCAGCTGGACGCCAGGGGGCGGTGGGATGGGTTGGGTCTTGGGATGGAAAGAAGTTAGTTGGGGGTGTGGGGGTGAGTGGGAGTAAAAGCCTGGGATCCGACCTCAAGGCAAAGTGAGAGCATCCCCTCTCTTCCAAGTTAACCTCCCCACCTCCGCGCTTTGGAGTCCTAGGTACGGTTGCTTCATTCGCATTAGGAATGCCAATCTGGATAGCTTCTGGACTCAGAGTTAGACGGCCGCTTTCTTTCTAGTCTCGGTCGTACAACTCTAGGGAAGGGGCGCTATCATTGGGTTTGGGAAAGGGTGGGGAGGGAGAATAACGGTTGCGACCCTGCTCTTTCTCCCACCCCCGGTTCCCTGAAAATATTGGCCAACTTCCCTGCCCAATGAGATTCAAGGTCACCTCCTTTTTCCTTCCTTCTCCAGTCAAGGGACCCTTCAATCAAGGGTCCTGCTAGGGACACTAGGGAAAATGACCATAACATGCTTGACTCAGCAGGTTATTCTCTGCACCTGCATCCTTGCTGCCCTTACCTTAATGTTACTGATGGTCAGCGATAGAACCGCACTGGGCAAAGTAGGCAGCAGCCTGGGGCGGAAAAGAGATGGATGACAACAAAGGGAAATGAAAGGGCTCGCACTTTTTACCATTACACTTTATAAGTGCATATATTTTAAGACAAAAGAAACAATAACAATTCTGCCTTCCATAGCCCGCAGGTATTTATTTTGTGCTGTGGAGTCCCACGAATTAAAGTGAAGGCTCCGGTGCAGTGACAGGGCGGTAGGGGAGAGAGGGAGCAGCAGTGGATGCTGAAATTTTCCATCCTTGCCTAGGGTGAACAGATGTTTTGTGTGGGCTCTGGATTGAAGCTTGATTTTCACCCAGACACGCTCTTCTAAATCTTACCTTTTCCCACATTGTCCTAGTTCAAAAATAATCGCCAAGTGGCTGAACCGCACTGGTGCCATCATAGCTATGTAAAGTTGAAGCCAAACATTGCACCTACAATCCTTGGGGAAAAAAAAAAAAAGAATAACTTTATGTTAAAAATGGGGGGCAGGATAGCACTTCTGGGACTATATCCCAAAGAGATCCCAAATGGGAAAAGGACCCACATGTACAAAAATATTCATAGCAGCTCTTTTTGTGGTGGCAAAGAATTGGAAATTGACAGGATGCCCATCAACTGGGAAATGGCTGAGCAAGTTGTGGTGTATGAATGTGATGGAATACTATTGTGCTATAAAAAATGATAAACAGGCTGACTTCAGAAAAACCTGGAAAGACTTGTATGGTCTGATGCTGAGTGAAGTGAGCAGAACCAAGAGAACATTGTACACAATAACAGCCACGTTGTGTGATGACTAATATTGATAAACTTAACCCTTCCCAGCAATACAAGGATCTAAGACATCTCCAGAGGCCTAGTGATGGAAAATGCTATCCACTTCCGAAGAAAGAACTATGGAAGTTGAATTGCTATTTTTTTTCTCTTCTGTTGAGTTTTGTTTCCTCTTTCTGATGGTTCCTCCTATTGGTTTTAATTTTTATTTACAACATCACTAATGTGAAAACATGTTTAATATGAATGTAAATGTATAGCCTATATCAGATTGTGTGCCATCTTGGGGAGGGTGGTGGGGAGGAAGGGGGAGAAAAATTTTAAACTCAAAAGCATATGGAAGTGATTATTGATAAATCAAAATAAATTAATATAAAAAAGAAAGTTTAAAAAAATAAAAAATAAAAATGGGGGCAGGGAGAAGCCTTTTCCTTTTTAGGTGGGGTAGTATTCATTCTGCTTTCTTTTTGTTTTGATTGTTTTTTTTTTTGGTTGTTGTTTTCCACCTTTTTTGATTTTATATTTGTGGCATTTTAAGGTGGAAAAAGGAGAAAAGACAGATTTGTGGCCAAGGGAAATAAATTAACTGGAGGAAAAAGGGATAGATGAGGGAGAACAGAAAGGTTGATGGTAGATGAAGGAGTTTTATAAACTCAATGCTTGAGTGACATAGCCCCTAAAACTGAAGTTGAAGTTAGTATAAATAAGCTTTATAGTGAGGAGCCACTTGCTAGTATACAGAGTGGGAATTCCTTTCACGTATGAGTTGGACTAAGTTGCTGCTGACGTTCCAACTCTTTAATTCTATGATTCTGGGGCAAGAGGAAAGAGCCCTTTCCTTTTGCCCCAGAATCATAGAATTAAAGATACAGGATTGAGATGCATGAGCACACCAGCAATCATTAGTCCGTTCATCATAGTTCAGTACCTTGACAATATCTAGGTACCCTAAGGGATTTCATAGAGTCTTGAAGGTCATCTGATCCAGTCATCTCCAAAGTAGGGGCCATGGCACAATTCCAGTAGTTATGTTTATCAATCAATGGGGGGGATGGGGTGGGAAGATGAATTGCATCCCACACTCCTCAAGAAAGCCAGTCTTGGGTTTATCTCCAACATAATTATAGACATCTTTCACTAAGAGTCCCTCAGTTATCCTCCACTCCACCCTCTCCCTCCATTAGCCTCCGATGGCTTTGCCTAGGCAGGTGTCCCAAGGTTCCTTGTATACCAACCAACCTAACTATGGTCCAGGTCTCAGCTCTCATTGCTGTTGTGCAGGCAAAATTCCACAACCCTCCCACCTCCAGTCTCCACACCTGGTCAACTCATTGCTGCATAGGCTCAGTGCTAGACAGGAAGTGTGGATACAAAAATCAATAAGCCTAGCTAGGTCTCTTCCCCTATTGACCTACAATTGGATTTCATGTGATATTGATGACACTATTTATAGATAGACTATAGATATAAATACTGAATATACTTATGGAGATAAAGTCAGTCACACTGTCTCAGGATGAATACAGAGAAAAGTTTGGAAGGAGACACAAACACACAGAAGGATTTGCCATGCCATTTTAAGTTAATATATACACTTTTTAAAATCAGTAAACATTTATTAAGCACCTATGTGCCAGGTACTGTGCTTAAACTCTAAGGATTCAAAGAAAGGTAAAAGAATCCCTCTCTCTAGGAGCTCACAATCAAACTAGAAAGAAGGCAAGTTTATGGGTCTCTATATAATCATTTTTTCCCTTTTCCTTCCTTTTGTTTTTGTGTATGTGTGTCATGAATGTTGAGTCTGTAAAAAGCACACTGTGCCCTCTAGGTGCAAATTGGCTTAGTGGTTACCAAACTTTTTTGATTCCACACCTCTATCAATAAAACATTTTGGAGCATTCCATTTCTATATACATTTATTAAATATTCATTTATTTATAAATTATAGAGGAGTTCTCAGCTTAAAACTGCACTATGACTTTTGGGACACCCTCTATACATGTATTACTGTACTAATATGTGCATTACAAAACATACACACACAAAAACTCTAAGAAGATGAACTAAAGATGAAGTAATTGACATTTTAAAATATTTTATTTATTAATGATGCTAAATTTATTTAATTAAATTAAATGCTAATTTATTTAATTAAATAGTAATAATAATTTATTAATAATTTTAGAAAATAAATGAAATCTATCAAATCATATCATTTATTAAAAGATATTTCATGATAAAATTGGCTTCTTGTGAATTTCCTGAAGGGTGGAGTAGATTTATAAATAATAATTATTTAATTTGATCAAATTTCACTTGATTAAGTCAAGTATCTTTTAAAAGATATTTTAATTGAAAAAATAAGACAACAATAAAATAATAGGTTATAACAATCAAATGAAAATAACAGCTTTAATCAGAAGTCATATTTCTCTGTGTGTATATATTTATCATATATAATGAAAAACAAGTGAAAACAAATGTCTTGATTAAAATCTGCAGAAAGTTTTCAATATAAATTCATTCCTTTTCTTAACTCCTATTGTCTCACAAAAAAAAAACCAGAAAGAAAGAAAACAAGAAAACTCCAAATGGGGCTACAAAGAATCAGATGTGATTGAAATGACTGAACAATAACAACAAACCAGTTAGAATAAGAAAATACCTCTTATCTTGTTAAGATAGTTGCCTTCTTTATTCTTGGAAAGCGACCAATGAGAGTTATGATCTAAGGGCAGTACCATCTTTCCTCATTCTAAAGGAATTAAGGTATTGATGATGGTGGTATCTCTGATAATTCCTAGAAAACCGTTGACCCTAGTGGTCAAGAGAAGGAATTCAGTGGTTTTAAGATAGTGAGTTGTTTTCCTTGTTCAAGATTCCTATAAACATTACTTCAAATTGTTTTGAGACAGAATGCTATCTGAGGGCATGAGGATCATGTCAGTTTGGGAAGTTATTCCCAAACAGAACACAGCTTGAATTTATAATAATGCTAAATTAATAAAAATTGGGAGAGATGAGCTTAAAACAGAGTACATTATTAACTTTTTATTGATTGGTAAATTTTGTCATTTCTGTATCCACAATATTTTTCCATCTGTTCCCTTCCTTCCACTTACAGGGCCATCCCTCGAGGTCATGCCTTCATCCCCTTTAGCCTGATATATTGCAGTAACCTCTTGATTGGTCTTTGAGTCTAGTCTCTCCCCCCTCTATTCTATTCTTCACTCAGCTGCTA